TCTCATTTGGTGTCATATGGTTTGTACATTCACTGTCTAGCAGCCACTGGCTTTCTTTTTTTTTTTTTTTGTCTTCTGGTCTTGCTGTGAACATGTGTTCTTCCTTGTCATTCTTTCTTCTTCTTTCTTCGGTATCTCCTCTTGACACCATCTCTTTCATTCTGATTTCTTTAACCATGGCTTTGCTTTCTGTTACCTCAGCCTTGTTCTTGTTCGAGCCAGATACGAGGATCGTCAATATGCGCTCTGATACCATGTTGTATTTCAAACAAAGGACTGTTTTTGTTCTGTTTTGAATTTTGTGTTTTATAGCTTGAAGTTGTTTTTCATTTCATTTTCTCATACTTCGATATAAAGGACACACTTGCAATATATAAAACACACACACAACAACTTTCTGAACATTCCTTACCCCTAATGATAATGACTTGCTCATCTTAGACTCTAAACAAAAGTAACTATTTTAAAACACTGTTTCAACAACTCTCTTGCACAGATAACTAATCTCTACTTAGTTAGATTCTTTTTAGTTTGGTTTGAGTCCAAAATGACACTTTTACTCAACAATTTGAAGGCTTGAAGCTGAAAATGCAGGTTTAGTTATGAGAGGAACCAATCGTTTTGATTTGTTGGAATCGTTGGAAGCTTCAGAATCAGAAGTAGTTTTTCTTAATGATATGGACTTCTCCATATCCACTCAAAGAATCCATTAAGTTCATTTCAGGATGGATCTATTCACATTGAAAAGGTAGAACACGCCCCTAGCTAATTTTGCCAATAACTTAACAAAATAGAAAACATTTATAAAAATATCCTAACTAAATTTTGATAAGCTTTTAATACTTCAACTATTTTTGTGCCTATAAAAATAAAAATACTATAACTAATATAATTTTTTTATTATAATATCTCAATTTTTAAGAATCTTCCATTTAACAACTCCAAGTTAACGGATACATCCTCATTTTTTTGTTTTTGTTATAATTGCAATTATGGTTAAATTAAAAAATAAGACAACCGTCACTCAAAATCAGTGACCCCAATTACCATTTGTTCATCTTTGTTTCTCCATTCATTAATTATAGAAATTTCCTTGAGAAAAAGTCATTAAACATTTATTTCACGTTTCTCTATAAGTTTTGTTAAATTTGATTGAATCGTATTTTGAAAATCTCTTTTAATAAGAATAATAATGATTTCCGTAAACAATTTAACAAAATATTTACTTAAATGTATGAAAAATACTGGTCACTGCTATCCTCTACTTGTATTTCATTTGAACTAGTATTATCTCCCGTGCTACGCACAAGGCAATTTTTTTATATATTTAAACTACTTAAACATTGCTTTAGTCTACATAAGCGTTCAATTAGAATAAAAGAAAACAAAGATCAAAGCTTATGAACCCATATATTTACCCTCTGCAATTTGTCTTCAAGTTTGTACCTCATTTGAGGTCTCTATCACAGTATCTCACGCTGGTTAGAAACAGAGTTGGCAAAACGTGGTGTACTTGCTGGACGCAAGCACGTGCTTTTTCAAGCAACCCAAGCCATTTCCTCTCAGCAGCTACATGCTTCTGATTGATTGAAGCATGAACTCGTTCCTTGTACTTGCTCTCTCTTGCCATCCTCCTCGTCATCGATTGAGATGATCTCTCTTTCACCGATGCCTTTTTCTGATTTGAAGCTTTGAAAATCCTCATTCCATTGGCTTCGGCCTTTTTGACATGAGACTCCACTTGAGTTCCAAGCTTCACGCGTTCCTTCTCTGAGGAAACCTTTCCCTAGATGCATTTGTGCCTTTGAAAGAATCTCCAACCTGCTATTCGAGAAAAGAATCAGACACAGAGAGAGGGATCACTAAAAGACTTTGCTTTGATTTACCTTTTCAGTTCAGCGGCATAGAACCTTGCCTCGGTTTGTTGGCCAAGCTCTTCATCGGAAGATCATGATGGGGTTCTGGTTTCGCATGAGCCTTTCTCTAAGCTATATGCATTGCTGCAGTATTACATATTTTCAAGGAAAAGGAGAAAAACTTTAGCAAGTAACTATGGTTAATTAGAGGATCAAAGACTTGGTCATTTCAGGGCAAAGAGCTAAATCGGGTAAGGAAAGTGAAAACCTGTGTTCAAAGATGCTCATGGAAAAGCTTGCTTTCAATATTTTGAATACAAGGTGTTGTCTTCTTCTTACTACAGTCAGACAGAAGCCTTGCACGAATCCTCCGAGGATCTCTCGTCGCCGATAGAGGAATCTCCGTCGGAGACTTTTCTCCATCGTTTCGATCAAATCAGTGAATGATCTCTGTCAGAAATCTTATAAATTCAACAAATAAACATAAAAGGTGATTTTTATAGATGAAAATCGAAGACGAAGAAGATAGAGAGAGAGAGAGACCCGAAACAGTTTTAGAAAGCATATGATATTATGATGGACAATGAAAGTTGGTCGTGAGTAGTTGATATAGGAAGTTGGAACCGTCTCAAGGATCGTGAAGTAGAGGCTTTCAATTGGAAAATTTTGGAAATTTTAAATTTTAAATTTTAGTTTTGTTTAAAAATTTGTAGATTTATTTTTTGTTTTATTTTTTTTACGTTAGATTTTTTTTATATTTTATTTGTCACTTGTTACCATATCATTGGTGCACCGACTTGTGCTTTAATAATATAAGGATAATTAAAAAAAACTTTATTAGAAAAAAAAAACACTCACCACCAACGGTAAGATCGTAACGTTTTACTTCAGAACCGAACCAACGGTTGAGATCTTTCTTTGATATTTCTAGGGTTCGGTTTTGTTTCCAGAAACAAAAATAAAATAAAATAAAATAAACAAAATGTTATATTTCTATAATTATAAAAGCAAATTTCGGAATCATGATGTCTCTCTTTCCTCTTCGCAGTTGTCTTCAATTTCCCCCAAATCTCTCACCAAATTATCTTCGATATCGCACGCGCCGCCGCAGGCTTCGCCGCCGGCAACTGCTTTTACCCTCTCCTCCTCCCCTCTCCTCCTCTTATCCTTCATTTAAAAAAAACCATAAAAAAGATCTGCTTCGTTTTATCTTCTCCGCTTCAATTTTTTCCTCTGTTGCTATCTTCTTTCGTTTCTAGGGTTTATATTCGATTTCTGCGAAATAAACGAGAGGGGAGAGAAGAGTAAAGAAAAACCCCAAAAAAGAAGAAAAAAATCCCAAAAATCAAAAAAAGAAAATGGCTCAGGTTCAGCCTCAAGGTCAAACTCCGAACGGCTCTGTTCCACCGGTTGCGGCGGCTGGTACCGGAGCAGCGGGTGCTCAATTCGGTACGACGTCGCTTTACGTCGGAGATCTGGATGCGAATGTTACGGACTCGCAGCTTTTCGATGCGTTTAGCCAGATGGGTCAAGTCGTCTCGGTTCGAGTCTGTAGGGATTTGGCTACTCGGAGATCTCTCGGCTATGGATACGTCAACTTCAGCAGTCCACAAGATGGTTAGAGTTCTTGACTAGGGTTTTTGATTTGATGCTTAATCGATTCCATTTTCTTTGTAATGAAGAACTTCTTATCTTGTTTCAAGAAGTAAAAAGCTATTCTTGATTTGCTCAATTGTGTGATTTATTGAGTTCTGTACGAGTTTGAATAGAAAAAGAATCTTTTTTTTTGTCTAGGGTTAAAGATTAGGACAAAAAGTGGGGATATTGGTTAATAGTGCACTATGTTTATTACCAAGACTGGGTTCAAGAAATAAATTTAGAATTAGTTTTCTTGTTTCCGAAAATGGTTTTTTTTTTGTTAGTGTGGCCTTAATAATGTTTGGTTATGCTGTGTGTGGATGATTCCTAGACTTTGGTCGGTCCTCATTCTGCTAATAGACTTATATAACATGTGAATGTGACCTGTGATGGGACTTTTATGTTGTGTTTCTGTGGCAGCTGCAAGAGCGATCCAGGAACTAAACTACATACCTCTTAATGGAAAACCTGTCAGGGTTATGTACTCTCATCGCGATCCTAGTGTTCGCCGAAGTGGTGCAGGAAACATATTTATCAAGGTATTCTTTTGCTTCTTACAGTGATCGACTATTCTGCTCTTCTTACAAATGAATATAGATGTTGTAGCTTTGAGACTCGTCTTTATATCTTGTTTTGCCCGTTGGAACAATGATAATTTGACTTTGCGTCTTTCATTATTTACTATGCTAAACGTGGGTTATTTATGGCAGAATCTGGACAAGGCCATAGACCACAAAGCGTTGCATGATACGTTTTCTGCGTTCGGGAACATTATCTCGTGCAAGGTAGCTGTGGATTCTTCAGGTCAATCAAAAGGCTATGGGTTTGTCCAATACGAAACTGATGAATCTGCCCAGAAAGCTATGGCTCAACTGAACGGCATGTTGCTGAATGACAAGCAAGTGTATGTTGGACCCTTCCTCAGGAGGCAAGAAAGAGATTCTACTGCTAACATTGCGAAATTCACCAACGTGTATGTGAAGAATCTTGCTGAAACAACTACTGATGATGAGTTGAAGAACACTTTTGGTGAGTTTGGAAAGATTACAAGTGCTGTGGTGATGAAAGATGGAGATGGGAAGTCAAAGGGCTTTGGGTTTGTTAACTTTGACAATGCCGATGATGCCGCCAAAGCTGTTGAAGCTCTTAATGGAAAAACATTTGATGATAAGGAATGGTATGTTGGTAGAGCTCAGAAGAAGTCTGAAAGGGAAATGGAACTTAAGGTTCGGTATGAGCAGAGTTTGAAGGAAGCAGCAGACAAGTTTCAAAGCTCTAACTTGTATGTTAAGAACTTAGATGACAGCGTTTCTGACGAGAAACTCAAGGAGCTCTTTGCACCTTACGGCACTGTTACATCTTGCAAGGTCCAATATTCCTTCTCTTCTAATCTGGATTGTACGAAATTCTCTTGATTGCATATATAAATTCCCTTTCGTAAAACATAACAGGTGATGCGGGATCCTAATGGCATAAGCAGGGGCTCGGGTTTTGTAGCATTCTCAACTCCAGAAGAAGCAACCAAAGCTGTAAGCAGTTGTAATATCTTTCTGAGTTCGTACATGATGAGCAAAGATAACTCTTCAGCTTTTACTAACTGTGGGGATTTGTACAGATGTCAGAGATGAGTGGTAAAATGATTGATAACAAACCTCTCTATGTTGCTGTTGCTCAGAGAAAGGAGGACAGAAGGGTCAGACTGCAGGTTTGTTTTCTTAAACTTGCCTCGTATAGTAAGACACTGAGGTTTCTGGCATTTTTGTTTGTTTATCTCCCAATTTTATGCAATTAGATCCGAAAATATTGAAAGTGCAATTAACATGTCTGTTTAGAATTTCCATCACTAATAAAGTGCTGCATCTTGATAATCTATTTGACTATGTCTGAGTCCTTTGATTCATTATTCTCGGTTTAAAAAGAGATTGGTGTATCATATGTATAGATCATGCCTCGTATGGTCATATGTAGCAGACCTCTTTGAATAACCTTGTCCCTGACTTGTAAGGGTGGCAAAATATATATAAATTTACAATACAATTTTTCCAGTTAAAACTTTTATAATAGTGTATAAAGTAGCAAAGAAGAGTCCATGCATGCGCTCTTAACTGTTATGCATTCTATAACCTAAGATTAAGATCATCCCTTTTGGAACTTCATATATTCCTGTGAACTCTATGGTCGTCAAAGTGTCATGTAATGAGGGATATCTACTCCATGATGTCAACAGGCTCAGTTTTCTCAAATGAGACCAGTTGCTATGCCACCATCTGTTGGTCCTCGTATGCAAATGTATCCCCCTGGTGGTCCCGGTATCGGACAACAAATGTTTTATGGTCAGGCACCTCCTAATATGATTCCTCCACAGGTATTTCTTTTTCTTAGCGCTTAAGACTACTTTTATTACTGAGAAACAATTTTTGTGTACATGTGATTCTATAGTGCATTTTGCATCTTCTAGCTCACATAGAATAACAATTACTAGCTTCCAGCCGATTTAAACACTTTATCATGATTTAAAGGTATAGCAATGTATAGTCGATTTATTTGTCTCATTCTTGTTTTATAAATCTTTTCCTTGTTCTTATTAAAAATGTTGGATGATTTGTAATGTGTGATTGTACATGGCAGCCCGGGTTTGGCTTCCAGCAGCAGATGGTTCCTGGAATGAGACCTGGTGGTGCACCGATGCACAACTTCTTCATGCCAATGGTTCAGCAGGGCCAGCAACGTCCTGGAGGGAGACGTCCTGGAGGGATCCAGCAATCCCAGCAGCAACAGCAGCAAGTTCCCATGATGCAGCAGCAGCACCAGGTTCTTTTCCTTCTCAAACGCAGTAAAAAGCTGTTTGTATTGCGGACTTGCGGTTATACCTTGGTAGGAAGTTTTACGATAATCTTTCTTTGTGGGTAATTTAGATGCACCCGAGGGGTCGAATGTTCCGCTATCCGCAAGGACGTGGAAGCGGTGGTCCTCCTGATGCACCTGGAATGCTTCCATATGAGATGCCTAGTAACATGCCATTGCGTGACTCTGTACTTTCTCAGCATGTTCCTATTGGAGCTTTGGCTACATCCCTTGCTAATGCTTCTCCAGAACACCAGAGGACGGTGAGGCACAGCTTTTCTTCACTTTTTTACTATCATTTGCGGTTTGGTTCTTAAAAGTCTGAGATTGTGTGACGTCCTGATTTGTAGATGTTGGGTGAGAATCTGTATCCGCTGGTGGAGCAGCTTGAGGCAGAGTCTGCAGCCAAAGTGACTGGGATGCTTTTGGAGATGGATCAGACCGAAGTGCTCCATCTTTTAGAGTCACCTGATGCTCTCAAGGCGAAAGTAGCCGAGGCTATGGAGGTTCTCAGAAGTGTCGCTGCGGGTGGTGCAGCCGAGCAGCTTGCCTCGTTGAACCTCAACGAAAACCTTGTCTCTTAAGTGTTGTTCTTCTTCTTGTCTTTCTGTTCGATTGAGAAATACAGTTTTCGAAAGTGTGGCTTTGTCTCTTCCATACACCAATTGGAGACCCTTTTTTTTTCTGTAGGATTCTCTGACATGTTTTTGTTTCTCCCTTCACTCATCATACTTTTTTACTTAATGTGTTTTGCTTGAAAACTTGATTTGACATTTTATTTTGGTTTGTTATTCCGCATTTCAAGGCAATTGTGTTCGAAGAAGTAAATTAAGACAAATTAACTTAGGTGCTCATAAGTCAAATTCTAAAAGGTATCAGTAAAACATGGCTCATGTGGATCAAATCTAAGTCTTAACAAAGTACTGTTCCTTGGATGCTGGTAATCATGAAGGAACAAATCACTAATCATGTTTGTGACTTTGGTTTACGGTAATTGTAGTCCCAACGTTGCAGAGAGAGAGAGAGAAAAGAACACATGATGACAAAAATCACTAAACTAATATGATACTTCCTAGAATATCAATCAATCTTATTATAGAACCCATCTAATTATCTAGTAAGTATCATATTAGTTTAGTATTTTTACCATCATGTGTTCCGCAGCACAAGTCTCTCTCTCTCTCTCTCCAACATTAGGGCTGCAATTACAGTTAACTCAAAGTCATAACCTTGATTAGTGATTTTTTCTTTCATGATTACCGCCTAAATAGATTTCAAGGTGATAATCGGAGGTAAGAAGCATTGAATGACTAAAAAAAGTCTTAGCTTTCATGAGAACTACTTAGCCACCATTGTTGTGACAATTTTCGCCAGTAAAAAGAAAAAAGTTACAAATTATTCTTACCGTGACAATGTATTTTACTATTTTATTTTTATTAAATTATTAACAGTTCAATCTCTAAGAAGAAAGGTAGCTAGGTCGCTAGGCCACCATGCCACTGAGACAAGTGACGTCCTGCAAAATCTAACACTTAAATATTGGCAGACTCATTCATCAATATTTAGCACCAAACTTTTTTCTTTATTATTATTTTTGAAAATTAATTAAAAATCATATCTTTGGAAATTTAATTGCAGTAACTATTAAAAAATATGAAAACTTTAGAATTCTTTTTGAGTAAACAAATGTCACATGAAATCTGTACGTCTCTTAATCCTCTCCTTCCTCATCCATTGCTTATATGTGTTGAAATTTTTCCAAATAAACAAATTTTCTTTTGTATGTTCTTTCCCTTTTTCATTTTCTCCGTCTCCAATAATTTTTTGCATTTCTCGGGAAAACAAAATCGAGAGACTGAAACCTTAGGAATCGTGCAGAGGAGAAGATACCCACCACCACTATACCCAGAAAAATTGAAAACAACCCAAAGTTTCAATCAACAAGAAACTTTTTTTTTTTTAATTTAATCTCAAATTGAAAACTTTCAAGACCCACCTGATTCTCTAGGTATTTTGCGGGTACCATTTCTCTCAATTTCTCAGGAAAATTTCCAGTCTTTAATTGGTGTCAATGTTCAGATCGTCGTAATTTTGATGTATTGGTCGGATCGGGATTGACCCAGTTTAGGTTTGAAGGATTCTAATTTGGCATCGGATTATTTGGATTCGATTTCCATTTGTAAGTAACTCGATTTGGTTCGGTATTGAAAAATCAGAAATGTGCTGCTCAAGATTCTTGAAATTGGACTTGTATGAGTCTGGAGATGTAATTTTATCCTTCTGTGTTAAATGAACATATTTAAGTAATCTGTAATCTAATTTCAATGTCGAAGAATTCATTAATGAAGTTTACAGGTTAAGTAGAAGTAAGCTTATATGTTTAGTTACTAACCTCACACTGGAGTCAGAATGAAGTTCTTAATAATGCTTTTGATATATGATAGATATTTGACATTATGAATTCTTTGTGAAGGTGTCTGATCTTTGACATAATGCAGAAGCTATAGTCGGAGCCTAAGCAAAGCCCTGAAGCTAGATAACAGGGTGGCCTGTAATGATTGTAATGGTAAAATGTTTTCAGTTGTGTTACTGTTTTTTTTTGAAGTTCACATCGATGAATTTTCTTGTCTGTTTCTGTTTATGTGACTCTAGGTCTCTTCAAAGTCCGGTTAACTTTCAATCTCTTTCCTGGAAAGTCATTGTGTTCTATAGTCAAAAGGTATGAATCCTATACAAGGGCCACAGAATACCGGTGGTTCATCTACTGCAGTGAATCAGGGAGATGGTGAATCGTTTTATAACGCAGAGACGTCTATGAATAACATGCTGAATCCAGTAGACAATGAGTTTCCGAACAATAGTACACGACCAACTTACACAAGCTCGAGTTCTCATGCTGCTCAAAGTCATAACTGGTGGCGGTTTGGTGAGTCCAGCTCCGTATCGGGGCCATCTGATCAGGTCAATTCCGTTGGAATGAAGACAAATCACCAGGTGCCTCAAGATGGTGGTCGTCAATTTGTTGGTTATGGATCTGAGGGAAGGCATTTAGGTTTGAATGGTATGATGGTACATGGAGGGGTTCATGCTGGCAGTCACATTAGAAATGGACCTTCCTTCTTGCGCGGTTCAAGCTCTAATGCTATGCCACAGCATGTAAACATGAGCATGGACATGGACAGTGATGGTTATGGTGCACACACTTCCGGTGTTGTTATTCGTCAGGATAACTGTGGGAGTTCACTAGGAAGTTCGGTTCAGGCCGCTGGAGAGAGCAGCAGTGGTCCAGCTGCTTCGTTTGGTGGTTGGGGTTCGTCTTGCAAAAGAAAGGCTCTTGAAGGAGCTCCGAGTCATTCTTTTTCTGGTGAAACTCCTGACTGCTTTGTTCAGAATGAGAATGGTGCTTCGCATGCAGGTCTTTCTCCATATGGTGCTTCAAGTAGCTTAAGTTTGGCTACACCCTCACAAAGTTCTCCAAATGTTACGAATCATTTTGGCCGGACAGAACAAGTGTTTGGATCTGGTAGTGGACGAGCGGTTGCAACTAATGCTTTTCATTCTGCAAGAAACTCTGACACCTTATCAAGACCTGGCAGACGATTAAATCCCAGGCAGCCTCAGGAGTCTGTAGCATTCAGCATATCACATGGTGGAAGTTCTGTGCGTCCCACTGGTTCTTTGCAACAGAATCTACCACTGAACTCTCCTTTTGTAGATCCTCTCGATGTGAGACCAACATCAATTACTAGTGGCTCAAGCACTGGTGAGAATCAGACCAATATAGTCCACCTCCCTGCTTTGACCAGGAATATACACCAATTTTCTTGGGATGCTTCTTTCAGTTCGAGGGCCAGCAGTTCTTCGGGTATTGGTGTGCCTGCAGAGCGATTTGGACCACAGTGGGAAACACCGAGAAGCCATCCAGAGCAGCCCATGTTTGCACCTGCAACTGACATGAGAAATCCAGTGCATGATCAATCTATTTGGAGTTTCACTCGTGGAAACCCGGGCTCATCTATAGATTCTCCCTTTATTTCTCGAGCAGGGCCGAGTTCAGCTCATGCGCAGCAGCCCAATCCTGCATGGATTCCTCCTCAGAGTGCCCCGCTACATAATCCATCGAGAACATCGGAAATTTCTCCTTGGTCTTTATTTCCTAGTATTGAATCTCAATCTGCTAGTCATGGTGCATCTCTTCCCTTACTGCCCACAGGTCCATCTGGTTCCTCAAATGAGGTGGCAATGCCATCTAGTTCTAATAGCCGAAGCCATCGCTCACGGCAAAGAAGATCAGGGCTGTTATCAGAGAGACAGAATGATCTTCTACACTTGCGTCACTTAGGAAGAAGCTTGGCTGCTGACAGTGATGGAAGGAATCACCTCATCTCTGAGGTCTGTGTTCTCTAAAACTATTGGCTCTTTTATGATAAATTGGTTGATGCTATGGTTTGTTCAATAGTAGAATCCTTCCCACAAAAGCATCTCATATTATAAATGTTAAGAGTGTGCAACTATGGCCTATGGGTTGGTGTGATAGTTTTTAGTTTGTTACATGCGTCTCATTGAAACTGGGGTTTTTAGATTAGTATGTCTTCTTTTTGTTTTGAGGTTATCTCTGTTGGGTATGATATTATCTGGTTTTGTACTTTTGTGATCTAACTTCATATAGATAGCGTTATAAAAAGTTAATTCATGCATGGTCTGTTTGAGGTAATTATCTTCTTTTGAAGTAAGGCTATGTAGGACAGATTATTGATCATATTTTTGTTAAAACCTTTGCCTTGGATTCAAGTCACAAGGCTATGAGATATATCACTTTTTGGTTAGTACAATTCTAAAGGTATAACGTTAACTGTATGAGTGCGGTTTGATTCACTCTGATATGAGTTCCATAAGGAAACCATAATTGATATGTTACGTATTGGGAATATTTGTCTTCTACATCTGGTTTATAAACCTCCTTAGCAACTGGAACTGGTAATTAGTTTTGATGCACTTTCGATAAGAATGTTAATAGTTAGTTGCACTTGTTCCTCTTTCTGTTCGCAGATACGTCAGGTGTTGAGCGCCATGAGAAGAGGGGAAAATTTACGGATTGAGGTATGAATTTAACACAAGTGATTTTCAACGATCGTGCCTGTTATTTTCAGTTATTGATACAACAGTTTCCGTTTCTTGGAAATGCAAATTATGTGTGTCCTGATATACTTTTGCGAAGAAGCCATCTCTTTTCATGCCATTAATAAAATTTTTCGCTTTAAACCATAGTATCCTGCGCTTAAGTGTCTGGCATTTCTGTAGCTGCATTGTTGATAGTAATAAGTATTATAGGTCTCAAGTTATGAAAAAAATTAGGCCTTTTGTGAGTTCCTAAGCACTTTTTTTTTCTTTTTGAATCATGACATATGTAGCTGATCTTTCTTTTTTCATTTCAATTTGATAGGATTACATGGTGTTCGATCCACTTATCTACCAGAGTATGACTGAAATGCACGATAGGCATCGGGAAATGCGATTAGATGTTGACAACATGTCTTACGAGGTGAGTATTAAATTCCTTTTTACTGTTTTTTCACGATTTTCCCATTTGCCAATATAGGTGTGGGAATGAATGTAGGAGCTATTGGCACTTGGGGAACGCATAGGAGATGTGAGCACTGGGCTCAGAGAAGACGTCATTTTGAAAACTATGAAACAGCACAAACATACATCTTCTTCTGCTGAGTTGCATCAGGACATAGAGCCTTGCTGTATTTGTCAGGTATTTGATTATGACCTTAAAAGTATTTTGAATCCTGTAACCTTCTTAACTGTTATTCTACATGCATCTATATACTCACTTGGCCAAAATGCCATTTCTTAACCGAACTAGCAGAATCATTAGTAGAACCGATGTCATAAGGAAGAGTTGTGTTTTCTTTAATCTGCCATGAAAACGTCAATTTGAGATTAAGCATTGGTTGATTGAATATCTTCTGCGTCTCTTCTTAAAGCTCAAATTCAGGAACTGATGTGAGAAAATCTTGTTGCTGATGTTTTTGACAGGAAGAGTATGTGGAAGGTGATGATCTTGGGACATTGGAATGTGGCCATGAATTCCATAAAGACTGTATCAAGCAGTGGGTCATGCTCAAGAATCTCTGCCCCATTTGCAAGACTGTGGCATTAACAACGTGACGCCTTCTCCTTCGTCTCCACCTCCACCGTCGCCTCCTGGTTTCCATTCATCGTCATTGCAGACGCCAAAAGAAAATAAAAAAATAGAGATCTTAACGTTCTGTTTCTATCCTTATCTCTTATTAAAAAAAAAAAAATTAATTGTTATGCTCACTCGTTGTGTCACACTGTTCAAAGAACATTATGACAGACAAATTCATAAAAAAAAAAGATCCATGTAGAAGAGAATAATTCCCTTTTTTCACTAGAATCCTTTGTAATTGTTGAAACTGATGGTTGACTTCTTAGGGATTACAATGCCTTTCACTTCTTACAAACACTATTTGTTTCCAATTTCTCAAAACTCATAATGAAAGAGTAATGAAATGCTTAAACTCTAGAATCAAAGCTTATGTATAAACTGTGTGTCCTAAGGAAAGAGAGTAAAGAGCATATACAATAAAATTGGGACATGCTCAGGCGAAGAGCTTATACACTGCTTGTTCACAATAAGAAAGAACACAAAGAAGAAGAAAACGTCTAACAATGACTATGAGTTTAGTTCCTCTTAAATCGTGACGATGACTTTGGTCTCTGTAGCAGAATCTTCATATATAGCAACAACATCACTGAACTTTGCAAAGAGCTTCTCCAACTGATCTACACCCATCTTTGTGTAATCCAAAGGCTTCTTGTACCTTTGCGTGTACACCGCCTCGAAACAATCCATCCTTACCTGACAACCATAGCTCACAAGAATGTCTTGCAGCTCGAGCTTGAACTCTTCCAGGTTCCTCTCGCTCTGTACCGAGCCTGCGTCCGATAACTCATCAGACGAGACTCCTCCGTTGTTAGTATCTTTTCCTTTACTCTCTCTTCTCAGTAAAACCACAGGCGGAGACGGAGAGGGAGAGGGAGAGGCAGAGACGACGTTCGGTTTTGAGCTCCGAAGATAAACAAACCTCTTGTTTCCTTTACCATCCACTGCAATCACATCACTCATCTTCTTGAAAAGATCCACAAGCTTAGCCGCACCATAGTCAGCTACAAAAAGCGGTTTACTGAAATTCCTTTGGTACTCACAAGGAACACGCATGAGTGGCATACACCCGCCGGAAAGTTCCAAAAGCTTCACTAGCTGACCCTTCAAACCGTTCAAATCTCCCGGAGCCACCCACATGGTGGACTCAAGGTGACCAGGAGGAGGATAACACGACATTGTGCTGCTACTATACTCGTTTTGAAACTGTGAAACCATCAAAGAAGACGACTCTCTAGAGTTACTATAACAACTCTGCGATACACCTCTATAGAGAATCGTCTCGTCTTCATTCATCACATCAACATTACCATTATCGTTACTCATACCACATCCCATTAGATACGTCCCTACGCGAGGAGGAGGAACAAAGCCTTCACCATGAACAATGCTATGCCAGTCCCAAACAAACTTCCCTGCACTAATCAAAGCTGGATTCACATACACACCAGAAGGTATAATCACAACCACCGTGTACCCGCGTTGGCCTAAAACGTGTAACGCCGGAGCGAAATCGACATCTCCGGTGATGATAACGATGGTGGAAGGCGGCGGGTTATCGAGCACAAACAAGAACATATCAAGTAAAATAGCTTTATCAGCTGCATCTTTCCTACCGTTTGGTACATCGACGAGCTTCACGCCGGTTCTTTGACAACCTTCTCTGACGCGGCGAGGAAAGGCGTTGAAATCGCCGAAAGCAGAGAAGACAACCACCACGGAACCGTTTATCACGGGATGCAATTGTATAGCCATTCTTATGTTACCAGCTACTTCTTCAGGACGAACATCGCTAGGTACGGGACAGTTCTCAATGTCCCAGAGAATCGCCATTGGAGCAGAGCGTCTCTGTGTTGTTGCGGTCATGTTGAAATCAGCTGCAACGTTTATCCTTTGCTCGGAGCCGATTGAGACTATGGCTGTTTCTGATGGATTATAGCTTGACATAGCTTTTATTGTATCATCAATGGCTTCTATAAACGAAAACAAAACTCGCTCTCGATTAGGTTTTCTTCTTCGCTTTCCGAGTAATGATTTGCGATGAAGCTTAAACTTATCGAAAAACACAATACCTGATTCAGGAGAGAGTGAGAGAGAGACGGATATTGAGGATCAAACAAGAAACAGTAACACACGCGTAAAACGTAACGGAGATGAGAGGTTTTCACGATTCTCCTTTCAGGATTCTGCTGCAGATTTAAAGGGGAAGATGATTCTTCTCAATCTTCTCCGGCGGAAAAAAAAAAAACAAATTTGTTTTGGGAGCTTTCACCGACTCCTCGTAATGTTTATCTTTGGTGGGCTTATGTAAGACTTTATTAGAATCATAAAAGCCCAAAATCCGCTATATTGTTTTTCTTTGAAAACATTCTCTCCTTTTTTATTTTTCCTTCGAAAACATTACTTTTTTTGAAAACCTAAAGTGAAATCCATTGCATATTAATCAATATTTGTACACTAAAATAAGAAGTATATATAGAATTTGAGTTCTAGAAAATATGATTTTCAGGTATAAATTTTACTAGAAACTTTTAACATAATGCAAATGTGATCTGGCATGTCATAGTGATTGTTAATCAAAAGTTCATGATCAATGCAAAAAATAAACAGTTTGAGTTGTAAACATATGATTTTTGTAGATTAATAAAGTCCAAATTTATAAAATATTTTATAGCATGATGCAAATGAATGTTCGTTGTCATGTGAACAATTCTTGGATTCACCCCTACGAAAATTTTTTTTTATCATTTCTTCTTATTTTAACGAATAGAAAATGTATCATGTAATATTTAAACATAATTTAAAAAATTAAAAATTAAACAAATAAAACAAATTAAAATAAAAAATCAACCATAAACTCTAATTCCTAAATCCTAAACTCTAATCTATCTTAAACTATAATCTGTAAACCTTAAAAAAAAAAAAAAACAAAACTAAACTAAACCATAATCCATAAATTATATTCTCTAAATTTTAAGAAATTTAAAATAAAAATCTAAACCCTAAACCCTAATCTATAAACTTTAAACCATAATACGTAAGCTCTATAAAACTATATAAATATTTATATATATTTTTTTTATTTTTATTTGTATTAAAACCAAATATAGTCTCCAAACAATCCGATGTTACATATAGACCAAGTTATAGTCTCCAAACAAATCTTGCATAAAGTGGCATTATATCTGAAATGCGGATGGGGAAGTTACCATAATTTTGGTGGTTCTTTTTCTTTTTTTTTTAACTTCATTTCCATTAAAACGGCAAAGCCACATACACAAAGGGCTCCAAGCCTTACAAAAAGGAATAATGCAACAATAAACTTACCCACTCACACAGGAGAATAATTTACACATGGAAGAGAGAATACCAGGTAGTCAAGAAGGAGACCGTCGTTGGGAGGTTCCATTGAGCCCTCGATAACGGGTCGAGACGGCAACAGAGAGTATGGGAGATTTCAGAAATAAGAATAGAGGCAGGACGAGAAGAAGCCGAGTGAAGTCTAAGGTTCCGCTCCTTCCAAATCTCATATATAGTCGCCTGGAACACAAGTTTCATGATGAGAGCAACATTACGATCGCTAGTAAGGTCCTTAATCCATCTGATGGCGTTCTCAAAGAGAGAAAAAGGCGTCAGATGGGCCCGAGAAATAAAAAAGGACCAGACTTCGGCGCTGTAACTGCAGTCGAAGAACATATATTGCCTAGATTCATTATCATTGCTGCAGAGGAGACAGGATGACGATGAGTGAATACCCCAACTAATGAGGCGGTCTCTAGTCAGAAGTCGATCTCGAGCAGATACCCAGGTGATGAAAGCATGCTTTGGAATCCGGCCCTTAAACCAAACCGGATTTGTGCCAATCCACAGCCGGAGAAGGAGGACGAAGAGAAAGCCATGTAAGTTTCGAAGAGAAGGATGTGAAGGGAGCAGAACTGCCAGTTTTCCAAAGATAGAGGTCATCAGCTTCGGAGTCAACAATGGGAGCAGCACGCGGAAGGCACTGGTGAAGCAGTGAAATGATGGGATTACGGCTGCGTGACGAGAAGACACGCCAGTCACGATTAAGCAAAGCATCAGACACAGAGGCGTGAAGGGGAATGCCCGAAGCTCTGGGGCCATAGCTGCCTGTGAGATCGATTAGAGGACCGAAGGAGGTCCAGTTATCCTGCCAGAAGCTAGCGATGATACCAGAGCCCACCTTCCAAACCAAAAACGAGCGAAACGAGCGAAACGAGCGAGCAATGCACCAAAATTTGCAGAGAGCTCTCCATATCCAACTTCCAGACTGCGAAGGATCCAAGCACCAGAAGTTCTGATTCTTGATCAGATTAAGGTGAACCCAAGAAACCTAGAGAGAACCACTTTTTGTAAAAAAACATCCAGATAAGCTTAAGACCCAAAACACAGTTCCACGTAAGAAGCCTCCTAAGTCCGAGCCCGCCACTCTCTTTAAGGGTACAAACCGAGTCCCAACTTACTCTAGCACCTCTGGCCGAACCAATAACACCCTTCCAGAGAAATGCACAACACATCTGCTCAAGGGTAACCAATCACTGATTCGGCAGAAGGAAGATAGAGGCCCAGAAGCTTATTGAGGAGTATATCACAGGCTGCAGAAGCTGAAGACGACCAGCAAAGGACAGATGCCTCACAGTCCAGGAGGAAAACCGTTTTGTGAGTATATCGATAAGTGGTTGGTAATCTTGTTTCCTCAGTTTTTGGGTCATGAGAGGAACTCCCAGATACCGAACAGGAAATGACCCTTGTTGCATCCCTAACCGATTAGCCATTTCACGACAAGTGTTATAATTCCCACCATCAATGAAAAGAAATGTTTTAGCTGAATTCATCTCAAGACCAGAAGCAACTCTAAAATCAGAAAGAATGGAGAGAATACCCCGAGCCGAGGTTTCAGAGCCATCGAAGAAGAGCAGCACATCATCTACAAAGCTTAAATGCATTACAAGCGGAGCAGAAGCATGAGGATGAACCTTGAAGACATTGTTGGAAGCTCCTCTATCCAGCATTTTTGACAAGACATCCATGGCGAGGACAAAAAGGAGGGATGACATGAGATCACCCTGACGCAATCCCTTCTTACCCAGAAAGAACCCAACCAATTCCCCATTGACAGATATGCTGAAGTGAGGACTAGATATACATGCTACAATCCAAGAGATGAAGACAGGGAGGAGGTCTAAAGCCTTAAGAACGTTCAGCAGGAATACCAAATTGAGATTATCGTAGGCTTTTGTGAGATCAATCTGAATATAGCCTCTCGATGTTGGAGCATGGAGGTGGAAGTTATTCACCAATTCGGAAGCGAGAAGAACGTTTTCGCAAAGCAGCTTGCCTTTTACGAAGCCCACCTGATTACCCTGAACAACCTCCGGAATAAGCAACTTAAGCCTTTGTGTTATTATCCGACATATAACATTGTAAAATGTGGTGCAGCAGGCAACTGGCCGGAAATGAGATAGATGGTCCGCTCTTGGGAGTTTTGGAATCAGGGAGATAGAGGTGGCATTGAAACGCTCGAAAAGGATCCCGGTGATAAAGAACTCCTTTACAACTTTAATAGTATCATTCCTAACGATATGCCAGGCCTCAATGAAAAACTCCACTGAGAACCCGTCTGGGCCGGGAGTTTTATTTTTTTGGTATAGAGAACAAAGCCGCCTTAATCTCATCATCAATGGGATACAGGTGAGACGATCTGCCAAATCAGAGCCACCACGGAATGGCTGAAACATGCGGACCTGATCCACGGAGAGGGGAGTAACACCTTGGCTCTCAGAGCCCAAGAGGTTTTGGTAGTAGGCGAGGATCATACCCTTTATCTGAGCAGGATTGAAAACTCGAGTAGAGTTGTTAATCCTGAGATGACGAATGCTGTTAAAAGCCTGCCGAGCCTGAGCCATCTTATGGAAAAATGTTGTGTTGGCATCCCTTTCTTTGAGCCATTTGATTCTCGATTTTTGTCTGTAAAAGGTCTCTAAAGCCTGCGAAAAGAAAATCCACTTACGTCTGGCCTCTTGCTCATCAGCTACCACCTGAGGAGAAGGAACTGAGAGGAGAGCGGATTGGGCTTCTTTTAGAGCTGATAAGGAATCCTTCGCTTTCTGCTGAATGTTTCCAAACCCGTTCGTATTGATTCTTTTACAACAGATCTTAGCAGCAGATAGTTTTTGTCCGAGGGAGAACATTGCAGAACCAACAGTAGAAGGAGAGAGCCATGCTTCAGAGATATCGGAGGAAAAATCTGGATGGGAGGAGATAAAGAAAAAATATTTGAATCCTTTTTTAATTGGTTCTACCGACGAGAGGGTCTCCACCAAGCAAGGGGCATGGTCAGAGTCGCCTGGAGCATCGAATAAAGCAGCAGAGTCTGGAAAGGTGACGCCAAGAATCGTTAACAAGGGCCCTATCCAGCTTCCTGATGATTGGATCCTCAACATGATGATTTGACCATGTAAAGAAAACACTACGACTAGCCAAATGGGAGAGTTGATTATCATCCATCCAAAGTCGGAAATCATCATTACCCCGCAGAGGAAGGGAAGTCGGGATAACAGAGTAATGATCGCTTGCCAAAGCAATCTGATTAAAATCTCCCATAAGCAGCAGAGGAGAAGAGTCAATTATCTGGTGTTAATTAACTTACTCCACAATCAAGTCATTGTAATCTCCACAAACTTCGGATTTTTGTGCATCAAACCGTTCTGAATGATCACTTGATTGGAATCAGACATAATCCATAATGTTTTCGGTTGTCCTATAAAAGAAACAAGTAACTATCTACCAAGATCGTGCAGCCGTGCCTTTCCCGTTTCCCTCAAAACAGCTCCAACAAGAGCTGCTTGCTCAAGACAATCATTTTTATGTATCCAAAAACATTTCCTATGGCAACTGGTAGCGGAATAAATCACCAAAAAATTGAATGGGATACACCGGAAATACCCAATTTTATTCAGATCTTAAAAAATGATAATTACCATTTTTTTCCTTAAAAAAATGTAATTATCATATCATTTCCACTTTCCTAAAAACCAGCTTGAAACAAACATATCGTTCCAAAAGTTATAAGTTAATGTATATATATGAGGTCGTCCAGTTTAATTAGGGTTTACTAAAGAAAAAGAAGATAAAAAAGAGAGAGAGAGAACTGCTAAAAGCGAAGAGAAGAGGCAGCACAAGACCTAACAAGAACTTCATCTCCT